TATTACTAGAAATTGCAAATTGCAAGTGAAGTGCTGCGAAGTACAACTGCATAAAATGTTCTTCGAACAAAATTATTTATGCGAGTCAAGTGAAAATAATGAATAATAAAAATATAACAAATAATATGACCCATTGTCTATATTAGAACAGCGTTGGTACCGTGTACAATAGTGTTTTGCTGCAGTGACATCTCTCTGCTGGCGACTCGCTGCTGTTGGCGATGACTCGCTGTTGGCGATGACTCGCTGCTGGCGAATCGATCTGTGCATGTGTATAAAATGATATTTATTTCCGAAAACACTATGCCAGTCTACAACAAGCGTTGCCTAAATGTAATAATTAGCATGTTCAAAATAGGCTAGTAAATAAGTTTAACTGGGTTCGTAAATAATATTGGCCTCAAAATATTGTGGCCGAGACATGAGTCGATTAAACGTAGAAATAGGAAACCTAGAAATATAGTAAAAACGCTGAATAGTACTCCAGCGTCGCGACATGCCGACGTTGGTACGAGTAGGTTAGTCTACAAACGTCGCCTAAAGTAATTGATTTTACCCGGCAAAACGAAAGGAGAAAACTCCGCTTTTCAGTTGTCTTAGGCGATTGTTTTTTGACAAACAATGACCTTTCAGAGGTCAAATTGCTGTCAAGAATATGAATTGGCTGCTTTGCAGCAATTAAAGTTTGGCTTGTGAATATATCTCAGAGGAGAGTGAAAAGGTTAAGGACCCAGTTTGTGTCCATCTGTCTATAACATGTTTAGGGTAGATATCAGGTGGTGCTGGACTGTGGCTGCCGTGGGTCTTTGGGCCAAAGAATTGTTATATTATTATTAAAAGTCAAGCGCCAACTTTCTTTTTCAATGGCTGATGGCGTTCATTGAACCAGAGCTACTCGGAGACAATGAAATAAAATAACTTTTTTTATCTTTTGTGGGGGTCATCCACCTTTATTCATCACAAAGACAAAACATTTTCTATAAGCAACATTTTGGTTACACAATCATCCATAATGCAATATGGCAATGTAAAAATACTGGAGAAAATTTTGGCATATGTTTATAAAATGAACTATAACTTTGTTTTATTTTTTTACGATGGAAAAGAAAATGTGCAAAAGAAAAAATCTGTAGCTTCTATATGAATTCTGAACATTAAACTTATTGATATTCTAAGATGAGCTTACCATTTAAAACAATAACCAGTAGCAGTTATGTGTACAGTATAGTCCAGAGATATTAGTGTAATATTTTCATATTTTCATCATAACTACTTTAAACTATTTTGAATAGTTTAAAAAACATTTCACTTGAATTTCAGAAGTCATTTACATACTAACATTTTAATCATATCTTCGAAGCATGTTATTCTAGCTAAGACATTTACTATCGTACACTTTGTCTTTATATTTTTGTAGAGTGATATTGCTATATTTACATATTGTAATGGATTTATTTCTTTTCTTTGCTTTTTTTAATGTATTTTATATCGTGTCAATATGCATGGCTCGATAAAAGTCAATGACCACGTGCAGTGATATTGAGCTTCCAAACTGACAATAGACTCAAGATAAAAATGGAGGGTTTGGCGTCCAAAGGTTGAAGATATTTTATAGATACCAGTAGGGCCTACATTCACACACTCATGTTTGAAATGGCTACTTACTAATAATTCAACATAAATGTACAGGTAAAATTGCTGTCAAAGGTTTTAAAAACTTTTGCTACTATATGCTGTCATTAATTAATTAATTGATTAATTAAAAAATGTATGTACATTACCAATACCATTATTTTGTAAAATCAGGATAACTACAATACAAAAAAAAAGAATGCATTTAAATATTGAATTTCTTGTCATGAATATATTATAAAGGATTTATACTATAAGTTTCCACTTCCAATACAGGTTTAAATCCCTGTCCAACTTATCAAAATTTGTTTGACAAAAACAACTAACATTCCTAAATATGGTCATGATGACATTACATCACTACCATATATAGGTACATCATGACTACAGTTGATCTTGCCGTGGTCAAATCCAAAATGACATTAAAAAATTGTTTGGCAAGACAAAATTCGACTTACAGATTGTTAATTTAGGGAAAACACAACAATTTGCAATGTAAAATAAAATCGACTTCGACATTTTTCGAGTTTAATAGGCAAAGTGGACTTAGGCAAGCTTAACTATATATATTATATGGGCATGCAAATAGTTTTTTATCAAAAAACATTTGATAATCTGTACAGCTTAATTTTTTGCTGAATTAAGGCACGTTTACTAAAAATATTTGTTCTGATTACTTTATGCAATGAATATGGGAGTGGTATTACTGTTTTGTATGTCTGTTGATTGATGAGGCAAATATTTTCTTGTTTTCAATTTTCAAGTATTATGACATGGAATTGAAAAGATAGAACTATCATTAATTTTGGTTTTTCCTTACAATATGAAATTTTAGACATTAAAAAAATCTAAAATTACAAGGGCTGTAAATTATTATAATTAAATTTGTTTTAATAAATGTATAAACCATTGTATTTTCTTTTTTATGTTGATTCATCAGTTTCATAATTCTAGGAAACTTATTAAACTCCCATTGTTTCAATGTCCCACATGCTATTTGTGTATGTCTAAAGCTCACACATGCTAAAGACAGGGGAACTCCCAATTATGTACCCCTCCATTTGCACAGTTTTATAATTGAGAAAATTCATAATTTACAAAGTTCAAATATTTGTATTGTGATATCACATTGGTATGGCTCTAGGTCTGTTATTAAAATTCATCCCTCCCCCATACACCATCCTACATAATTTTTCCAAGAAAATTAGAGTGATATTCTAATCTATTTTTTTTTAATAATGGCCAAATAAATTTATTATAAATTGAAGTGAATTGAATATATCTGAAAATGTCAATTTTTTTTGTAATATTAAACTTAATAAATGAATTAGTACCAGTTATAGATGATGTTTTCAATAGGTTTGCTTACTGTATTCATTCATATTGTTAATATTCAAAAGATTATAAGGTATGATTTTAATGCATGTGTAATTTCTGAGTTGATCCCTAACTTGGCACTATCAGGGGTAAGACCAGTGAAACTAGTACTGTATGGTTATGAGAGGTTCATTTTAAAGGGCAATTTCGTAATATTTTGTATGATCCCTAACGGTTGAAACCCGGTTGAAACCATCACTGCAACCATTTTGAGCTTGGGGTAACAATCATGTGTGAGTATGGTAGTAAAAATTAGTACATGGTCATTTTCGTAGGCAAGATAGCTTTTCTTCAAACAGACTATCATACACTTGGCCTTTTGCCAATAATTCTAGCCGCTTCAAATTTAACGGCTTTAGTATCTTTTGTACAATATATAGGCTGACATTCTTGCATAAACAAGTTTGGTTTATTAGCTTCACATTCTACTGTATACTGTAGTGCTGCAGGTCTACACTCAGGTAAATGTATATAATGTATATACTATAGATCATCTAGTTTTGTGCTTCTCCATATTGTTCTTCCAGGGAGTCACTATAACAATAATAATTAAGGTGGCCATAGGATATAGGTCTTATGGAGCTGTCCCTGCCTCGCTTTTTCCATAACACAACTACGGTGGTTTTTTTTTTCACTTTGATTATCTACCTGCTCTCCAGTGACACTATCGGTGTTTCAGTATACTGCACATTAATTTTCCCTCCAAATCTCCTCTTGGCCTATATCTTCAAGAGTTTGCTCTAAAACTTTATCTGTTCTATACAGTATTTGCCTGCAGAGACTCCAAATCATACCATATTGTAAGCATATTATTACTCTATGACCCCTGTCCTCTGAGAGCTTCACTGGCTTCCTACTACAGAGCCTGCTGAATTACTGTGTTACTTATTAGTAATAGAAAAGGTTGTGCTCATTTAACTTTAGTTTACTGTAACCCACATTTATGTTCCTGAAAGGAATTACCTATCTTACGTTTCCATGCAGTTGCAACCACCAGAACTATGGAAATGATATTACTGTACTATAATCATCATGGATCCGAGAACCAGTAAACCAAAAATGTTATATTCCTTTGTCCGATTCAAGTATAAAAATTTATTAGGGTGACTGGCTGTTGGAGGCATTATCAGTTTTCCATATGAGATCTATATGATTTTTAAATAATTTCCTCTATTAATTACACTCGCATTGTAATCACAAAAGAGAAGAATTTTCTCTTTCCCAAATTCCAAAGTTGGTGGTTGACCAATCCAAATATTCCTTAAATTGAGGTGGACTTTTTATAGGCAGATTAAGATTATTATCATGGTTGAAGGCACAAAAATATTCTCAATCTTCATTGTTGACATTTTGGTTTTTCTCCTAGTATTTTATACTAATTTGCTATTGTAATGTTTTGTAAGTTTTTGTTTGCCTGTTTATTTCTGTGATATTCAACCCTATGCAACTGTTACTCTAGGAGTTGAGTGAAGTCGCATGTGGACATTCACGTGCACTCAAGTTCTTAATATATACTGTATATATACTGTCTCTTATACACATCTAGATGTGTATAAGAGACAGTTCATATTGTTAATATTCAAAAGATTATAAGGTATGATTTTAATGCAGTGTAATTTCTGAGTTGATCCCTAACTTGGCACTATCAGGGGTAAGACCAGTGAAACTAGTACTGTATGGTTATGAGAGGTTCATTTTAAAGGGCAATTTTGTAATATTTTGTATGATCCCTAACGGTTGAAACCCGGTTGAAACCATCACTGCAACCATTTTGAGCTTGGGGTAACAATCATGTGTGAGTATAGGTTGTAACCACCCTTTTTCCACCTTTTCCCCTCAGTTTTAGTTTTTAAATATTATAAAAATCTGTATTTTATTAGTAACAGTTCCCAAGTTTTTCGTCAACTGCTATTTTTGTGTCTTAGATTAGAATATGTACAACATATAAAAAATTGTTTTCCTCAGGAGCCTGGCTTTAATACATTAACTGCTAACGGTCTCATCTCAATGCAGAACACCTTCTAATTATTACAGGTGAGATGGCTTCTCTTAAAAATGAGTGAAGATTAGTTTGTTATGGCTGGTAGCTAAATATAAGTTGCATTAACTATATATCACGGCCATGTTTGATCCATGGATTAGTAACCTTAGTAACCGAACTATGATAAGAACGTTAGCTTCAACTTCGAAATACAGTAAAAACATTTGGAACTTGTATTTTTTTACTTTTAAATAATTACAGGTGACAAAAAAGAAAAGTTGTTTTGTTCAATTTATACATGTTACCGGTTTCATATAATTTATTAGAAATGGAACATAAGAGACCCATGCCTTGTGCAATTGCCATGGATTAGTGACTAGTCATGACCTAAATAACTTAGGAGTAAAAGCTTCTGTTGAACTTGATTTTTCAAATATCGTATTGTCCATTTATTACATTATACTGCTGGTTTTTCTGTGCATTTCAAAAAGTACCTGATTAAAAGGCAGGTGAAAAATACAAGAAGGGAAATACAGGGAAAGTAAATCCGTAAAGATTACAAAATCCCCAGAAAGTTGTGATGGCTTCCTAATTCAACAGGAATTTAGACTTATTTTACAGTGAATTTCAAAGCAACTAAGCAATCTTAAGAAAAAATATTTTCAATCTAGTTTATAATTTTATAGTATAAAATTTTGGTATAAATATGTAGGTCACCGCAAAATGGTTTTTCAATGAATAATACACCAAAAGAATTAAAAGAGTTTGTCTCATTTTTTTGTTTTCTGTCATTTCTCTTATAGCCCCATTACAAGTTATGTAGTTAATAAAAGGACACAGCATTCCATAACAGATATAACTATAGGACACTAAACAGTATTTACCTGTGAATTTATCTGTTTGATATGGACCAATTAAGCTAAAAGATTACTTCTGTGATGTAGTCTGATTCCATTCTTATTACTTAACAAAAAAAAATTGTCATTAAATGATCTTTTAATGTCGTTTCTTAGAATCTTTATTGACGTGCATCGTTGGCTCGCTCTATAGCGTGCCATGTGCAAGCATCTATTTGAAAATTGAGCAAGAATATATACATTACTGTAGGTTTTGAAATGATGTCACACAGTATTCAATACACTGGGAAGAAAGTCTGCTCTTTCCCCTGAGATCTTGTGTACACGTCTCATGAATCTATGATGTCTCTGAGTATTACAGGCTTCTGCGATGTTTGGTATATTTCTTACATACATATTACACAGGACACATTTTAATTTTAAATGTTTGTGCATTATTACATGGATGCCATGTAGTAAATAATGCCTGCTAAATATTCCCTAGCTTGTATTCTACTTCAGGTTTTTATTTGAGTGAATTAGGTATGACATTAGTGTCAAAATTATACAACTGTTGATAAATTGAGCTGTTTCTACAGTACAGTGCATATCGTACTTTAGGAACCTTGGCCCAATCTGTAGGAAGTCATGGATCTTTCCAAGGAAAATTTCAATTAGAGAAGTAAATCAGATGTTTTGAGGGGTTTTCTGGTATTTTGCGGTTTTTAATGGCTATTCCTCCAAGGTGTTTGACAGCAAGCGATTTTGATTTTTTTTTTTTTTTTTTTTTTTGGTTTGTTAGTACAGTAATAGCCAGATCTCCTTACACAGTATGTGATGGCATGTGATTTTATGAACTCTAGTCGTAGCTTTAATACTTAAGTTCCAGTTCCAATAAACAGGTGAACTACTGTATTGCTAGAAAGGATATTTCAAAAGGCACGCTAGTAATTAATTTTCACTAAAAGTGTGGAACCAATAGGAATTTGACTCGAGGCAGTCTATAATAATTGGACTCTACATCTGATGTTATTATTTTCTTTATTTCTTAATGATATTATTTGATAGGTTGTTGCCCCATAAGCACTTTGGTTTAGTTTAGTAGGTTTTATAGGAAAATGACACATGCTCAACTTGCTTAGTTAATACTCTGAGAAAGGCAGAGATCCCAAGTCTCCAGAAAATTGCAGGTTTCTCCCGATTTTTGAGGCCGTCTCCCGCCCTCCCGATTTTTATTAATTATCTCCCGATTTTTTTAAATATCCCGAAAATTTCACAAAAAATGTGATTTCCACGATGTCATAGAGCAATAAAACAAAAATTTCTTATCTTAAGCCAATATACTATGGCGCTCACTCAGTCTTAAAATATCGTAAACAAGACCAGGGAGTTGTTATGTAAGTTGTTTATCAAAATAACAACTCCATGGCAAGGCAGGCCTAGATATGTGGTAGAATCGCCTTGTTTATCCTCCATGTTACGATCTTTCTCATCCGCGTCGACCTCAATCAATGAGATGGCTGTCAGTTGAGTAAATAAATTTCAACAAATTAACGAAATTAGAAATCACATGGAATGGATGCCCTAAGTTTTTTCATCGCGAAGATTTGGAACTTTGTAGAATTGGTGCATAAAAAATACTTTTTCTTTCAAGTAAGCTTCAGTTCTTTAATGACAATACTAAAAAAATTATAGTTAATAGGTTTTGGTACTAAGCAGTCTTCCGAAAAATGAAGTTTATTTTAATATCAATCCCGAAATATAATATTTATAAATTTATATAGGCCAACTGCAATGTGTAAACAAATGTAAAATTGTTAAATAAAAGTAAAGAAATTAATGAAAATTGTTTGTTTTCTTCATTTTGTGTAATACAGTAGAACCTCGTTTTTACGTACCCCAGTTATACGAACCCTCTGTTTTACGTACACCTCGTATGGATGATGACGTCATCAAAAATCCCGAAAATATTCAAAACAAACGGCCCTTTTGAGAGCAACCATAAGTAAAAAGAATATAACAATAAACTATAACAATAATTGTAAGAGGGCAGATTTTGCTGTGTACTCTAATTGTCCAGCCATTCTGCTGGCCTATTATGATAGATATTTTGCTGATGTTCAATGCATTTACAGAAATAAATATAGTATGTCTTTTTGTTTTCACCTTTAGATTTCAACCATCTAACGCAGTGAGGCAACAGCAGCAAGATGTCCCTTATACAACGTTTACAACAGCTACAGGGAGAGGGGCTACAGAAGCTCCAAGCATTGTACATGAACACTCAATTTCCAATGGAGATTAGGTACTATTGTGCAGCATGGATCGAAGCACAGGATTGGTGAGTAAACCAGCAGGAAGAGGAGTGCATTGCTTTAAAATAAAGTACAGTAGAAGTACAGTAGAAACCCTCAATTACGAACCCCGATTTAACGAATTCCCGATTTTACGAACGTAAAATCAAGGTGATGACGTCATATTATTAGCATGCATAGTACTATGTAATTCTCAAGTGAAGGAGGCCCTCTAACGGGCCTCTTTAAATTCCGTGTTTTTTATGGCTTCACACGTGTGCATGTGACAAATTTTACTTTTCTTTTAAACATCGTTTTCAGCTTTAAAAGTCAACATAGTGCTTGATTGTTTTATCGAATGATCAATATATATAATAAACTTTGGAGTGAAATCCACAATCTAGGTATTTAAGAAGGTAAAAACGTCCGATAAAAACAAATTTGGTAGGGCCTAGAGTGGGATCAGAATGCTTAGAAACTGCTTACTGTAGGCCTAGGCCCCCTCAGACTTAGCTGCGTAGGAACCTGTGGGCCTAGCCTAGGCCTAGTTTATGCCAGTGTAAGTAGTACCAGTGCAAATATATAGGAATTTGGGTCAACCCCGATTTTACGAATACCCACAATTACGAACGGCTCTGGGACCATCCGTACTTCAATGAGCGGTTCTACTGTATTGTTGCAAGGGTTTTATTAGAACAAATAATGATTATAATTTGATCTGGATTTTAATGAATTTAAACTGTAACTAAATAAACTGTAGGATTATTTCTTTAATTTGACTAGTATCAATAACAACAGGTGGAATTAAGATAATTTTATCAGTTTAAAAAATTGATTTCCATTTGATATCCTTTAGAAGTTGATAGTTTGAATGTCACAATTTTACTAGATGTTGCAACTTGGATTGTACTACACTTTTACATAATGTTACCATAGAGAAAATGGTGTTACTTGTTTTTCCTAACTACCAATTCATGCTAACTTAATGCAGTGAGAGGTTTTTACAGCCTTTTGAAAATAAAATGAACACTATCTCCCTTCAAAATAAACTTACTAGTTTGCTGCTGAATTATAGCCAGACTGTTATTATCTCCTTGATACCACCATTGTTTACCATTGGTGGTGAATAGTAACCAAGATGTATTTGTCTTGTAGGCAGGGGATCAATGTAGATGATCTGAATATGGAGCCAAATGCTAGGATGTTATTGCAGGAGTTAATCCAGCAAGTGAACCAGAAGGCTGAAGGTTTATCAACAGATGAAATGATGTTTCCGATACGGCTTAAGTTATATCAATTTGCACGCGAGTTAGACGTAAGCCAGTTTGATATTTTTTTTAACAAACACTATAATTATGAATTAAAAAAAAAATATAATGGAAGAGGTTGTATTTAAATTGGACTAGGCCAAATCTGTAAACGTGTCAAAATACCAGCATTTTCTTGGGACAAAATTAAAACATTAGCAACCTCACAATTCTCAATTATAAAATAAATGCGATCTGCTCTGAAAACCCCAGAAATGTTAATACATAACATCATGGGCTTTATTCATGTGGTTTTACTCTAGAGACTGGCTTTAGACCTCCATGAGACTAATGTGTGAAAGAAAGTGTGTTACAGTACGTGCAATTAAATATCCATCGGGAGAAGCCTGTCGCCTGCCAGCTGTGTCGTTGAATGGGGTGCTTTATATCAAGACGATATCAGTATGCTAAATAATACAACATGAATGTATAGCACTGGCTAGATAAATGGTACCTCGTCAATAATCATAAAGTTCTGTAATGTTCTCAATAATTATTAAATGGAAAATTGACTGATGTATTGATAGTAGGACTTGCATACAAGAATCAGCTTTATGGTGATGAGTACGACAAATGCACTAATCAAGGGATGTACTCGATAGGCGATTTAGATTAGATGATTACCAATTCAAATTCCAGATGATGTCGTCTGGAATATATTGAAATTTTTAAAATTTAATCATGCTGCAGTCTCAGTTAAAGTAACCTTATTCTCACTAAGGTGATTATCCTATTAACTCTTGAATTTCCATTGCATTTTGGGTACTTCCCCTGTAATAAATCTCTTGTAATTATTCCTAAAAATGTAGTTTATGAATAATTTACTTGTTGATTTATGTTGCTGGTTTAATATATTATACTAGATGTCCTGATTTGAACTATCGTGAAAAGTGAACACGTAATGTCCTTCTGCGTCTTTTGTATATATAAGCATCATGATAATATTTAGTGTTGTAATGCACATGATGATACATATTAGTAGACTGTAATCTATTTTTCTTCTTTACATCCAACTCGGTAGTGGCCACTGAAATTTGCTGACAGTGTCCAACAATTTTGACTGGGTGTCTGAACAAAAGGGCTGCCTAGGGCCTCAGAGTTCCCAGTAAAACTACTGGTGAAGGGGGATTCAAGGTGGAGAGAATATAGTATTAGGATAGAATACAATTGTGTTTTTAGAACGTAGTATCACTAATTGCAATCATAAACTAAAAAGTGGTGTCTATGATGGCCCATGCATGTCCGTTGGTGCCAACACTGAATCCAATAAGCATTTGTGTTATTTAATTACAAAATGTGATTACAAACTTGACAAACTGATGCTTCTCACAGTGCAGAATTCATTTTTAAATAACCTCATATTTAAACCAGTATCTTTTGGACTAGCTTCAGGAAACCATTTTAAAAATGTTCCATTTCCAAGCGAAGATAAGTTTCCAAACGAGTGGTTTACTGATGTTCCAATCAGCAATATTTAACGTCAGATGAGACTCGGAGCAGAAACACTGAAAAACCATGAATTTTTCCTATATTAATGAGCATCACTCGCTGTGTTTACAAAATTCAACCAACTACAGTATTTTACATCATGGGTCAGGTCAAAGATTAATGTCTTTATTGTTACAATTTTTTCAAATATTGTTATGCTTTGTTATGGTTGTTAATTGGCTGTACTTCATATTAATATGAAAGTAGTATGCTTTTAATTCTTTGTTCTAGTTTCAACATTTTTCTCAGTAATAATAAATACAATAGGATTTTTTTTTTAGAATTAGAAGAATTTGACTAATATATTGTAAGTAAATCATGCAAATTTATTAGGGGAAGTTTAGGATCCGCTACACACTCATTTTGGTGGCTTGTGCCCTAGCAAATTGATATTAATATTGTGATTATAGTGCAATACAAATGAGGTTGTGCCATTACTGTCTCTAGGTCTTCATCAGCATGTTATTGAACCAGTGTGAGGATAAACTCTCCATCAATTGTAGGCGTTTGTAGACAGTTATTGGCCATTTGTCTGCGTGGTTTTGTGGAACTAGATGGGAATGTTATATAATGCTATTGTGAGAGGAGGATATAGATGAGTTGATTAAAATGAAGGAAGACAGTCAGCAGATTATAATAATTTTATGTTTTATAAACCCCTCCAGCAAATTGAGAGAGATTACAAGCATCGCCTCTCAGTCCATAATCCATTAAACAAGTTATAGAGATCCAAATGTACACTACTCTGAATCTGTAGAGGATTTAGTACCTATGTGAACACCCTCACTTAGGCATTCCCACAGAGTGTGTCTGGTCCCCGGTGCTTATCGGCTGCATACAGAGCTTCATTTTTGGGAGTTTGGTTATATTGTAATGCACAGGTGGTAAACTCTATCGAAACCTAGTAATAATATAATATTATGATAATCGTTCTTGACTGTATCACACATTTAGTTATTTATAATACTCACCATACATATTTTATGATTATTATTGTAATGGTCAGAATAGTTTAACCAGCAAAGAATTTAGGTACAATGATATTATTTTTGAATGTTTTCTCATCCTACTGTAATTTTTATTGAGAATGCTGTACTGTGAAGGGATTTAGTTACAATACAAATGGCTTCTAGTCAGATTCTCATTGATGTTTCTGTTTTTATCATTGTAATTATAATATTACTTAAATTTACATAAATATTTAATTTATTGTTCTGTCTTAATATACCATTTGTTTCTATTTTTAGCAACGCTGGAGTATATCCCCATTAAGCTTTGTAAGGACAATAAGGTATTGCATCGAAGTAGAGCACAGTCTAGTTGATGATGTTGGTGTAAGTATACTGACCTCTATAGGTTTTCTTGAAGAATTTCAATCTGTTCCATAAAGTACAGTATAGTAAGAAAATTATCTGTTTTGTTGAAGCAGTGAGTTGTTACCTTAGCAACAGTTTCCGCAACTGCATGGGCCGGATTTGGGGGGTGGGGGGTGTTAGAAATCAATAATATTTCCAACCCCCAACAGTAGTGTTGTCTTGATTGGCCCCACTTTCGGCCCACTTTTCGTGCCCCCCCTCCATTTTGGACATCGCTCGATCCGCCCTTGAACTGCAACCTACTGCTACTGTTAACCCGAAGAAGGTGAGAGACCATAGCAGTTGCTGAAACAGATAATTTTCCTACTAAAATCTGTACTGTAGGTTTGTTTTGACCAGAATAATCAAGCTGTATACTGCATAAAGAAAATCTATGTAGTGGTGTACTAATTGTCAATTGTCACATACAAAACACATGCGAATACTGGGTACGTAGTACAGTACATTAGGCCAAGTGAAGAGAATCAACATCAAAGGTTTAGAAATAGAATTACATTTTCAATACTGATGAGAGAAGCTACGTAAACCAAGCCAAATTGTATTCTAGACGTGGATGTAATGTTGAGCACTGTCTATTCACTGTAAGAAAATCTTTTCTGGAGTCAAAAAAATTAGTAGCTACTTGTTCTTTGTTTTCCAAATTTCATTGCCAACCAGTTACAAAGAAACATCTTATTTTGTTTTTCAAACAAACAAATCCATATTGTAATTTCAATTTGGCAGATGGTTGATGTAAAAGAATTGTTGACATAACCATTATCAGACAGCTGGAAATATCCTGGTAGCATCAACTGCTACAACAGAAGGAAGACATCAAAACTATTGCAAAATTGTTAAAAAAAAAAACTAGTAAAAATACAACTCCATTTTATCTATGTATATCTTTCGGTGAGTACAGGCTTCTGATGCGAGAGAAGACTTGTTTCACCACCAGAGCTTTAGGTGAGCATGTTGCTTGAACCGGTGCCGATATTATGCCTGTACTGTAGGTTACGGCACTCCTTTCTTAACGTCTCGACCGTTTTCCAGTCAGTCTGTGTTTATATTCTAAAGATAAATTCACTGCTTTTTCATTTCTTAAGACTGCAAAATTTAAACCTCAATTGTTTCTTCTCTCATAATTTTTGTCTTTTGTTCTCTATTTGTTTTATGTGAAACTCGCACCTTTTATTGGCTTCAACCTTGTGTTGAAATTGGTGTTACATATATCCTATTTTTTTTTTTAATATACTGTATGGTCTTGCAGTCGTAATGACATTTTTTTTCTTATGCAGGGAACTTTTTCAAGGTCACCTATGTCGGATAGCCATGAAAATATTGAAACAACTTTACAAGAGTTAAGAGTTATGACAGCTGTAAGTTTATTTATTGTTTTCTATATTAATGATGATATAGCAATTGTACTTGAGTGTGTTATTGTGTTTTATGTTTTTTAAAAAATGAGTGTGTGTTAGGGCCTGCGATCATAGAAAAACTGTAATAAATCAATTTATTTCATCACAGGACACAGAAAAGGATCTAGATAATTTACAACAGAAGCAAGAAATGTTTGTATTTCAATACCAAGAAAATCTTAAACTTCAAAGTAAGTTGAATGTTAGAAGCTTTATCCCTGGATAGACCAAAACTTGAAGTTGAACCCTTCAGTTACTAGCCCAGAAAAGGGAAAATATATATATAGGAATCCTTTTGTCACCCTTTGTTACTAGACACCTCAGGGGCGGATACAGGATTTGAAAGAGGTGGGTTCATTTTCCCCATAAACCGAAAAACGAAAGGGGGGTCCGCCCCCGGGAAATTTTGATTCCTAGATGGCTGGAAATGAGCTTCCCCGACCTCTGAGGTGTCTTTTAATGAAATTTAATTTCTTCAAAATTCAAGGTTTTACCCCTCTTAAAAAAAAGGTCGGGGCCCCGGTGTGGGGGGGGGGGTTTCTGGAGGCCTATACCCCATGGGCGTTCTGACAATCTGAGCATTTTAAGCTATTTTTAGTGAGTGTTTATTGACAGTATCAGGTACATAAACAAATATATTTTTAATAAAGCCACATTCAATTCGAGTTTCAATGTGTGTTTTATTTGAACACTCAAACTATGTACACAAACATTCATTACTCAAACAAACAAAAAATGAATGAAAAAAGTGAACCTTTCTTAACATTCGACACTCTTTCTACCCTCCTGTTATACTCCTACACCCCTAATTCTTAATTAATTTGTTTAAAGGGCCAACATTTATTTTGACTTAGGCTCACAGGCCAAAAGATAATACCTGAGTACCGGTAATTAAGCAAGTCGTTATAATGTTTTTGGTAATTTCGAATTCTACTTTTTGTTACAATATATGGTAACAAATTCTGTAACTTTAACAAAGAATACGTACATAATTATCAATATTCTGTTCACATCCTAGTTGGTTAAAAACAATAAGAAATTGCATTCGGTGTATAATAAACATTAGTAACATAAACATTAAAAATATATATAATATGCATACTTTATAAAACATAAATTGACCTAATTTTCTGATAGATAAACAAATTAAATAACATTAATTAAATGAAATATATTTAATGATATAGGTGTATTTGCTACCATCAACTGTAACACATAATTTGAAATAAAAGTAGGCGTATCGTAGAAAAGAATCGCTAATGGGCATTGACCTCAAAAGTACTGTAGAAGTACAGAAATAATACTTTCGCTACCTGCCTGAGAATAATGTTCTCATAAAGTATAATGAAAATAACCTGGTGGTAAAAAATTAATAGGAAAACAAGGAGGAACAATTCATCGAAAAAATTGGGGGGGGGGGGGTAGCCTGGGGAATAACACTCTAGGTAGAAAGACATTTTGAAAAAAAGGACAAAAAAAAAAGAAAAACAATTTCTCCCACATACCAGAAACTTCTTTTTGATGTAGTTGAAACTAATACAAAAGCAAATTCTTTTGTATTTAAAATAATTTTTTAAAATGAATTAAGAAACATTAGAAAATTCAAGATTAAATACATTAAAAATAACAAGCTTCTGTTCTTTTGACTTTTTGTAGTATATAATATATATTTTTTTAGGAATTTTGTCGTTGTCTTCATTTATAATGAGAAAATTATTTATCAAAATATTTAATTGAATTTGTTTTTATTTTAGGATAGCTTCATGGGTCAAATTTGGCCCGCAGGCCACCTATTAGGAACCATGGTCCTACATGTTTGGAGTCCATAAGAGGTCGGCCTTACCCACCATAACCAGAACCAGTTAACCATACCAATCAATTTTTAGTAACGCGTCAGTGAATTAAGTATTCACGTAAATACTGTACTTACCGGTACCTGACTGCGTGCATGTTTGATGCCGACAACTCAAGTTTTAGTCACATAATCAATATTGGTTGTGGCAAGGCAATTCAACAGAAGGACGCACATCTCGGGACATCAAAGGCTATAACTCTGGCATCGACATTCTAGGCGCACGTGCGTCCCTGCACTCTGAACGTCACAAAAACCATAGCAACCAGACCATAAACCGTCAGCGTACGTGACGAACTACCCAGGCGCGTGTTAGTTGCCATGATAATCGCGCGTCGTGCGGTGATTACAAAGGCCTAATAATATTTTGCATTAACATTAGACTGAAATTATATTCTTCATTTCAACATTAATTTTACCAAAATTGTGGTGAATTGTCGTTCATGAGACTCACTTCGCAGAAAAAATTAATAAATGTTCTGTATATACTCAAATGTTCATTTTCGGTACCTTATGCCAACATTGTCAAAATGACAAATTAATGTTGCATAAATGTTTTAATGTTTAATTAATGATTAATGTTTTATAAAATTCGTAAATTTTAAATTGCTGTAACTTTTCATTTTCTTAGTCAATTTCACAAATCAAATTGCAGTTTATAGAAGCATTTAACAAGCTCGCGGCCAAAAAAAATCAGATGTAACAATCATTGCGAAGTACCCAAAATTAATAAAATAAAAACTAACACCATAAAACGAATGGCACGCATAGACTAATAATTGACGTCTGTATTCGCAACTAGTATCGGATTGTCGATGCCAGTAAAGATCAAAGGACTGTACGCAAGCGCTATGTTCGAGAGCGGAGATGTGCGTCCTTCTGTTGAATTACCTTGGTTGTGGCAATGAACGCGCAAGACCACACGCGCCGCCAAAGCTTTCTGTGAATTGAATCTCAAACAAAATAACGAAAGCTCTCTAATGACTCAAGTTACTGCATGATTGTTTTATATTTTTAATAAAACTAATTTCTTCTAATTTTAAATATATTTTCCCTGAATTTGTGATTATTCGTCGTCATGCGTAGACTAATTGCGCGACAAATTTAAGAGTATGCATGTGTTTCTGCCAAATGAATATTACATCCAAAATCACTTTGAAATGTGGGACTTTCCCGCATGATGTGAGATGGTTGGTAATGCCTTTTGTAAGCCAGGAACCAATAGTACTTTATTACGTTTCTTCACAGGGGGGTTTTGTCCGAACCCCTTGAACCCCCTGGATCCGTCACTGCACCTGGTTGCTATCTACAGTAGCTTCCGGTTCTGTTACCCTATGTTGCAATCCTTTTAAGTCTTGTCATCTTAAAATAAGTTTCCAAAATTATACTTCCTTTTCTAAATATGTCTTTGTTAGTTTTTATAGTCTTTTTGCCTTACAGCATATTGACATTTTTAGTCTCTAATTGTAACATCCTCTTAAACCAGTTTATTTTCAGTCACTTATTTTTTGTTTGTTTTGTTTTTTTTTTTGTGTGTGCATTTTAGATCAGTTAGCTCAATTACAATTACTTCCGGAGCGAGATCCTAATCGCATGGCACAGGAACCTACACTGAAGCAGAAAAAGCAAGATTTAGAGGGCGTTTTGCAGTCAGAAGCTCAACGTCTTTTAGGCATGAGAATTGTAAGTGATTGTTATGAAATTTTGCTTCATTATAAAACCAAAAATTATTTTTTTTGGATCGCTAGCATGGTAACCATTGGCAGGTGCAGTTGGTCAGGAAGTTTTGGGTCTAGGCTAAATTCTAGAGTTCATGGCTAACCAACACGTAATGTGGCTGCTTGCACAGGGTGAAACATACTATAGTGTGAAACACTCCACAGCTCATCAACAATGTAAGCGGACTTATCTAAGCGTTTCAGGTTGAGAATGGTCATTGTGTGGTTTGAACTCTTGACCACAAGTTTAATATCCAGAATGGAAAATGCTTTGCCAAACTACCTTTTATTAATTTTGATTGCCGATTCGTAGGACAGATATTTTTGTCAATTTTTCTAAGGACTGTACACATGATGATACTACAGTCTAGTATTTTCCCTTTAGTGATTAAAATGTTCAAAGTTTAGATGTATTTATTTATAATGGTTTCTTTTAATGTCATCTCAGAATTTGGCTGATAAACACAAAAGAATGTTTGAGAAAATTAAAGAAGTACAACATACAGTATTAGAAGATGAGCTGATACAATGGAAACGACGACAGCAGCTAGCTGGAATTGGAGGGCCTCCAGAAGGCACCCTTGATCAGTTACAAAAATGGTATGTGTCCAAAACAGAGTTTAGATTCATGGGGAAATGAGATGATGTAAAGGAGTTTTGGGAAGAGAATTTTGGGTTAAGGGAATTGCAAAAGGAAATTTGATACAAGAGGTTTGAAAATGAATGGAAATGAGAAAGGTTTTGGGAAAGAGCAAAAATTCAGGTATCTTGGGAGTTGAGATACATCTCAGTAGAAAAGGTACCCACCTTCTAATCCAAAGATATTAGACTCAATCCAGCCAAAAATATCAAAAAAAAAAGAAAAAACAAATGCATTGAGAGACTTAAAGAACACTGGTTGTCCCCAAGTTATTTGCTAGATAATTTTTCTATATAATTTTCAATGCACTGTTCTGCGAACATTTGTTCAATTTTGGACTGCAAAACATTTTTAGGGAGCTGCAATTTTGCCTAGGAGAAAAAAAAATGAATGATTTGTGTTTGTAAAACTAATTCATTGATATAGCAAGTACACTGTTTATACAAAAATCTGTCACTAATAGAGCAGGTACTCATGTCCAATTATTATATATCATAAGAACATGGAGGTCATTTCCATGATCAGAATTTCTTGCTAGTTTTTGGTGTGTTGGTCCCTGTTGCAGCTGGGGAGAGACTTAGAATGTCCAGTAGGCTGTGAATTAAAAAGTTTGCAGAAAGCTTTTTTAAATTTTCGTTTGCACTTTATGTTTCTGGATGCACCACTAATGATAGAGTTGCACTGATCTAAAAGTGATTGCAATGAAATCTTTAATTCTTGTCTGGAAATGTGCAATGCCCCCAAACACTGGTCACATTGTCATGCACTTTTTGCAGCTCTACAGAATTATCTCCACATCTGGAGTACTGCCAGATCTATATTGTAGGTATTAGGTAAAAATGTACATGAGTGATGTCACATCTGTTCACACCTTGTGAGATGACTTAATTTAAGTTCACAGAGCTGGTGACTTGTATTCAACTTTAGTACTGACCCAGTTATATGGTGGAATAGCTGTAAAGCTTATTCTCAATCATATTAATCTTTTTAAAATCATCAAGAATAATTTATTGTCATCGAACAAACAAGTAAACAATGAAATTTGTTTTGCTAGTTGCTAAACAGTGGCGACTCTAGGATATATTCTCTGGGGGTGCTAAGATGTCCGACAGGGGGGACTTGAGCTCGTAGGCTCGAGCTGGGAGGAGTGGTTGAGAGGGGGTTCCCCCTCCCAAATGAGATTTTTTTTAAAGAATATCAACCTATAAATGGCCGAAAATGGCACTCTCAGACTGTGACAGACATGTGTTGGCTGGGTGTGGGCCTATTTTTATATGTTTTATGGTTTGAATGCCCGACGAGCTCTGTCCGGCGGGGAGGCTTGACCTGTCCAGTGGGGGGCTATGCCCCCTGCCACCCCGCTGGCGCCGCCACTGTTGCTAAAAACACTAAGAATGACATATAAACTTTTAAACACGGAATATTATACAAATAATGAATGTTATGAGTGCAATGGGAAGAATATTTTTATTCGTTGAAAGATTGACTGTTCCATTCAACGAGGCAGATACAAAACATTCATTAATTGTTTTATAACACACCTAAATAGATCGGTTCGGCCTAGGCTAAGCCTAGCCTGGCCTACAGGTAGGCCTATTCTTCACTCAAAACCTAAGCCTAGGGCTAGAAATCCGTCAGTGCATTTCGGAATATTCCGCACAGATTCTGCTAGTTTCTGAGATATCCACGCAATTAAAATACTTTACATTGAATAAAACCTCCACACAATGCTGAAGTTAAGACAAGCTGAGGTGTAAGCAACTCCGCTTTGAGAGTCATGGTCAAAACGAAAAGGAATAAGATTATAGTGGGCAAATGTCATTTCTGGATTTTTCTGGTCATTCTATCCTAGGCAACGTGCAATGAACTATTCTAAAGGGGGGGGGGGAAAATAGAACAAAATTTCAATGGTGAAAATGAACTGAGAATATGAATATGAGTTAAGATCACTTAGTACTGAATTGATAGTTATCTGTTGAATAAAGGTATTAAATAAATGGATTGCATTTGGTAAGAATGATTCTTTGTACCGTTTACTGTGACATGGCATTGGCCTAAGCCTACCAGACCTCAGAGTGATTATATTACAGTGTAATGGGTGAATTATATGAAATATATTAAATGTTCCTGGTCTAATTATATACTTTGATTACATAGGTGATGTACTAAATGCAGGACTAAGAGTTGTCTATGTCCAGATCTAAGTTTGCTGACCCTTCTGTTCTGTATTTTGACTGTATGGTCAGACTGGTTGATTCTTCCAGAATTTATCCCAAAGGAAATTTAAATGTAGTAGAAGCAGCAGTGACAACTTTGTTGGGAAAAGTATTCTAATTTTCAGCAATAAGATTACAAAAGGAAAATCAATCTCAATATGAATGCTTTTTGAACAGTTTAACAAGGGAATGGAAACGAGTTCCATCTGATATCATCAAGTGCAGAAAACTAAAATAATTATATAGCGTTTTCGATCATATTGGCCTACATCTTAATCTTATGAATGTAAGAGATTGTAATTTTAAAGTATGAAGTCTATCAGGGAAAATGTAATGTTTGGAAACAAATCTAGTAGCTCTATGGTGGACATACTCAGTCAAATCTACATGCTTTTTTTTGTGTAAGGACACCTAACTGAGATTCCACATAATGTCTTAACAATAGCTTTGTATGATAATTTTAAAAAGTTTGCATTTCCCAAATAGGTAAGTGCATGTCTGGTAGACCAATTAACCTATTGGCTTTATTAGCTTTTTTTTAATGTATATTTCAAATGACAATAGACACCCCCAAGTCTTTCTCAGAAAGTTTATGTTCTAAATTCTGAGCATTAGAATTGGGATCAAGAGTGTAATCAATCTGTAAATAAGTTACTTTTCTCATTCTGAATGACATTAATCTACATGTTTGAGTATTAAATTGAAGTAGCCAGGTTGATGACCATTCTTTTAAACATACTAAATCACCATGTAGTGAGATACAGCAGAGGAATTGTATTTGTTTTTTTTTTTTTAAGTCTCACAAAAACCTGTAAATTGTTGTTCTGTAATAAGTTACAGTCCATAATGTCAGTGATCACAGATTTTGGGTCTATTCTTAGCTCCTATGTTGTGCTATGTACTAAATATGGAAAGACGGTCACTTTTCCAAGAGAATATCTTTTTTGTTTTTAATGACAAATTAAGGAGGTTTTACAGAAAGGCTGGATCACTTTTCCATAATGTCAGCTTGCACTGCTACATGTTGGAGTGATGAGGTCACAGATTTTGGGTCTATTTTTAGCTCCTATGTTGTGCCATGAACTAAATATTGAAAGACGATTACTGTTCCAAGAGAATAATCTTTTTTGTTTTTAATGACAAATTAAGGAGGTTTTTTCCCTTCTGAGTTGTTACATAATATTACACAAATCAACATATTAAAATGATTTTTTTTTTGTGTGTGCTAGGTGTGAGGTGTTAGCTGAAATCACATGGCACAATAGGCAACAAATCAAGAAAGTGGAGCTGCTAAGGCAGCAGCTTCCTATGAATGTACCCGGAAATGACCTTCTCCCTGAATTGAATACGACAATTACAGCTCTCCTCTCAACACTTGTCACAAGGTGAGTTTACCTCTGCTATAGAGGTTATGTAGCACTGGGTTATGCACTCTCCAGCATTTATCTGTGTCTGTTTGTTAGTAGGATTATGCAAGGACAAATAACTGACCCTCATACATTAAAAGGCAGTTCATATTGGTCATAGGAAGAAGTTTATTAAATTTTGGGGTGAACATTTCAAAAGCCAAGTTTATGGTCACAGAAAACTGAAAAATATAAAAAAAATAATTATTAATAATAACATTATTTATTGCATTGGTTCATATTAGTGTAAGTATATTGGTATAACAATTAATCTTTTCAACTATTATGTTACTTTTAAACTTGCATCTCTGTTTTTTCAATAGTACATTCATAATTGAGAAGCAGCCCCCACAAGTCCTAAAGAAGGAAACTAGGTTTGCTGCCTCAGTACGGTTACTGGTAGGGGGTAAACTGAATGTTCACATGAATCCACCACAAGTTAAAGCTACCATCGTCAGTGAAGCTCAAGCAAAGAATTTACTCAACAATGATAACTTAGGAATGAAGTAAGTGAAAGCATTCTAAATAATCAGTAAATGAAATACATTTTATTAATACAGTCATTATCAAATATTACCATAACCACTATCCTCATTGTCATCAACCATCATGGTGATAACCATTGTCAGTTTCGTCACCATTATTAATGTCGTCATCATTTTTATTACTGTTAACTTTGTCGTCATTATCAACATAATCACAATCATTATCTTCATCTTTATTGTAAAATTTTAGTACTTTTAAGACTGGTTTAATTGCTTTTGGGTGCAAGTGCTCTTCTTCAGGAGAAAGTTGCAGTATAAACATGATCAATCTATTTAGTATAAGCTTTGACCCTGTGCTCGAAAACTGTATTGTCAATTAAAAACCTATTCTTAAAAGTATACCAGTTTACAGTTTTTAATTTACTGTTATCAGACTGGTATGCCTCATTTATTTTTACTACATCTTGATTGTCTTCATAATTGCCATGTCATTCTCAGTGGCATGAAATTGACCTAACCAGCATCAGCCATGTCAATCAGATTTAACAACTGACCAATCAGAACAAGGCCGGAAATATGCGCTTATCCCATAAACGCACTGTCCCAGAAATGCCCACTTTTACGTACACTTAACATGGGGACCTTAGCAACAAATTCAATAGGGCTGGTCTTAGCAGGGAGGTCTATTCCATGCTGCGCTTGTACATATGAAAATTCACTATTTTAATTAGTTCCTTACATTAATTTTGCACCTAATTTTTCAGTGAAACAAGTGGAGATATCTTGAACAACTGTGGTGTCATGGAGTACCACAAAGAGTCTGGAAACCTTACAGTTACATTTAGGAATATGTCACTGAAGAGGATCCGACGAGCAGATAGAAGGGGGTCAGAGGTAAAATGAGATATCCTAAAGTAAAATAAATATAGATAGATCTTAATAACAAACAAATGTATATGTGCAGTCTGTGCGTGTGTATGTATTCATATATGTATGTATATACATACATGTATTGGTATCCATGTATGCATGTGCAGGCTGTATATGTGTATACACAGTATTCTTTTTTTTCTTGCTTTTTGATTGTCTTTCATATTCTTGTTAGACTGGACCACAGTTTGTGAGGTACCAATTATACAATTGTGTAGTGTTATCAAATAAATAAAAAGGCTTCATATTATATTTTTCTTTTTGTGTATACTATATCCATTATTCGACTTAATCTTGACAGCCTTATCCAAGTGGGTGGGATGGGGTTTATCAGAGAGGTTAACTGATAAGCTAACAGTAAAGATAAGTGCAAGGACATAGTGGAAGGTAAGCTCTGTGTCTTCAGCATGTGTAGAAATACATGGTAAATACCATGGTAGTGTATGTCTCTGCGATGTTTGTTTTTCTTATGGACCTTGTGCAGGACACATGCTGGTTTTGGCAGGTATAAGTTTATAGAGCATGTAGATAGTTCTGTAAGTGGCATAATCGATTGATTGATTGATTGATTGATTGACTGACAGCTTGATTGATTGATTGATTGATTGATAGATAGATTGGCTGATTTATTGTTGATTGTTTGACTTCCTCTTCAATTGATATTTTTGCTTTTTAATTTTCTTTCAGTTTGTCACAGAAGAAAAGTTTACAATCTTGTTCCAATCAACATTTTCAATAGCTAGTGGTGAATTGATGTTCCAAGTTAGGGTGAGCAACTTCATTATCTTTTAATTTCCATGATTTTTAAATTCTTTTATTACAGATTATGATTGAAATTTACCGTAATAGTACAATAAACTTTTTTCCTATAGTTATGAAATATATTCAAAACTTTTTCCAATAATTTGTATTAAGGAAGGGAGGCATCTCAGCTTACCAGCCTTTTACAGAAATTGGCTATTGTTATATCTTACATATTCAATTTCAAATTCAATTTGGTCTACTGTTTAATATCTTTTATATAATGGTCTTAGTGCAAAAATAATTAGTTAATATTATTAGTTAACATTTTTTGAGCGATCTTTTAGTCAAAAGTTGTAATGTTAAATAGTGTTATTATATTTTAATTGCAAAAATTTTAAAGTATCAATTTCTTATATAGTTATATATTCAGTTAATATGAAATGTGAGATTTGTGTACACTCTTTAGTATGTTAATGAACAAAATCCGTTTTCAACCAATCACCAGCAAATCTCACCAACCAAAACATACAAGTATTTCACAGTTTTGGGATTTCTGCAGATATTATTCTCCTGAAGATGATTTAAGCAACTCAATCGAAATGAATTGAGATATTCTCAACCAGCAACAACAGTTCTTTTCAGAACTTTCTACATGGTGTACCACAAACATCAATATATAACAAAATCCATGCAATAAAAAATTACTTTAGCTTTTTTAATATCAGTTCTTTCGTGATTCATGTATGTTTTCTGCTATAATTCTATATTTTTATGTATATTTTCTATGCAATATAAATGTGCAATGATGATGTGAGCTGATGATGTGAGGGGATGACAGGAGATAGTAGATTTTGGTTTTTATCCATCATCCATAATCCTAAACACCACGGTGTGCTTTTTGTCTTTTCACTGCTTGTTTATTTTGTTTACTGTTGAATTCATTCGCAATTCCTCTATACTTTAAAAATATATTGTCTGTGCTGAGTGAATAGGGAGACGATGAAAACGTAGAGCACATTCACTCATCCATGACATTTGGCACAACGTAGATTCGGGTCAAACTGTGTCCTAGAATTTAGACTTTCGCATGTGCTGATGACTATGTGTCGTCATTATGTTCTAGAACTTGGTTTTGTTGTTTAACAAACTCCCACCTAGTCCTGTGGCTGTCAATTGCGCACAGATGTAATACATTACATGTCATGCAAAGTCACAACATCCAGGTACCCAATTAAACTTTTGGTAAGGTGCCTTAAGGACACAAGGTTGATAACCAAAAACAGTTGATAACCGAAAACGTTTGCTCACTTGAATAAAATTATGTATCTGGCAACTTATTACCATCTCTCCGGAGTTTTTGTTTTTTATATATATATATATATATATATATATATCGGATTTAATGACAGACAGTATATCTTTAAATCAGGAATTTGTTTTGTTGAATTCATGTGCTCTTTTTATTTATGCATCAAAACATTTTTTGTGCCTTCATTTCTTTTTATATTTCGGTTTTTCTTTTTTCTTTTTATTTGTTAATTTTGTAGTTTAATTGGTGATGGTTATAGCAGTTGCAGCTTTATGCGGGAACGATCTGCTTAAATTTTCTGTTTTCTCTAGCTAATTTTGTTTTTTTGTTTTTATTTCTTTGCGTTTCTTCCGTTCTTCGTCTTTTTAGACTATGTCTCTTCCGGTAGTTGTGGTGTCGCATGGTAATCAAGAGTGTAATGCACTTGCTACGATTCTATGGGATAATGCTTTTGCTGAATCAGTAAGTGCCAAAGGCATGCTGGGGAAGAACTAAAACTGTTGCTTCTTTCCCATGGGTCGTAGGTCAAACGGCTGCACATATTGGTACAACACCACACTCTCATCTGCACTTGTCCAAAACATGGATTCTATCTTCTCTTTCTAAATTGCTACCCAATAGCCAATTTGCTATTTTTAGCCTCTGTAAACAACATAACAGTTTTCAGCGGGTGTTGGTTTTTCCTGTTTTTGTTTTTGTTTCACTTGTGTTGTTGAGATGTTGGTGTTGAAGAAGCGCTGTGTAGCCGTGTGCCTACTTGATCTACGTTGTTTAAGGAAGTCCGTAAACGCATGACAATTTTTTGTCGTACTACACAGACGATGTCCCTCCCAGTTGTAGTTATCGTCCATGGCAACCAGGAATCCAACGCATTGGCCACTGTTTTGTGGGACAATGCCTTTGCAGAGCCAGTAAGTTGAACATATTAATGATCTTTCAACTCTGTGCAAGTATCAATTATTTTTGCATACATCTATTCATATTAGTTCAACAATAATAATTATGATAATAAAGGATATGGATCCAATATAACATTCATATTTTCAAATAGGAAGGTGAATTGTATGCCAAGTTTGCTAATTTTAATTAAAATCTGCAGTCATACTTGGAACTTTCAAACCAATATTTTAAAAAACAAATTATTGTTCTACAAACATTCCTTTTACCTAAAAGAAATAAAAAGAAAAACTGCATGAATCACTACTTTAAGATTATTAATAGGAATGTTATTTTCTAATATTAAAGTTTATGTAATTATTAATATTAGCTTATTGTTTATGTTAATATGTTTATTAATAATATTTTTGTTATTAATGTTATTTGTTATAGGGTTTAAGTATATGAACTTTATTTAATAATATCATTACACTATTATTATATTGTTAGTAATAATATATTATTAATTTTAGTATAGCAGTAATTATAATAAATTTTTATAATAAATAATATTTAATATTTTTGTTTGATTACATGTTAGTTGGTATGGGCTTGGTGTTGTGGTTGATTAATGTTAAAAAAACAAAATTGAAACCATACTAATAATGTAGGATTATCAAACATAAAATCAAAGAAAATTTGGATATTAAAACAAACATATAAGAAGAATAATATAAAAATAGTAATGATATTAATTTAATAAACACAGTAATTGTGTACATTTTAAGTAGTAATTGTGCACATTTTAATGTCTTCTGTTTTTTAGGGAAGGGTCCCATTTTCAGTGCCAGATAGAGTATTGTGGCCAGACATGGGAAAGGCTCTGAACTCCAAGTTCATGTCGGCTAATGGTCGAAGCCTATCGCTAGAGAACTTAAACTACTTAGCACAGAAGGCTTTCAGTGGGCAAAATATCAACACTGATGATTACTCGCAGTTGCAAATTTCATGGAGTACCTTTAATAGGGTAAGTAATCAGTCAACAAGCAACAATATGTTACAAAAGTAAAGCCCCTGACATAAGGTATTGCTCATTTTGGTTTATATAAACATTATCTTACACATGGATACTTGAATCTGCAAGGTGGCTTAATAATAGTAATTTGTTTATGTTGTGAAATTTGCTACTTGAAAAAAAAAAATGGAGTATTATTATAAGGTAGATAATTACAACATATTCACAGTTATGTACAAGGATTTACCTAACATTCTATCCTCCATTTTCCTTCAGGATCCTTTGCCAGGTAGGAGTTTCACATTTTGGAAGTGGTTTCATGGAGTTCAAGAGCTCACACGGAAGCATTTACGAGGACCATGGAATGATGGGTAAATATGTATGGATTATGGACACAGCAGGGCTGAAAATTAACCTCTAAACCATAGTGGCCAGCAGGGCTAGTAAGGAAAAAATGATACTGGCCCTTCCAAGGTTATATTGGTCCTATTTTTTTTACGGTCCGAAATATAATTTTACGAAAAAAACAAAATCAATAAAACCAGCAAGATGACATTGGTGTAATAATTGTTTTTAGCCAATTGAATCTGTCTTTAGCCAAAATCATTAGTCCGAGAAAAAATCCATTGTATTACTATTCACGATCGACACAAGAGTTTTTATGGCCCAAAAATGTGATTTTAGACCACATAGAGGTTGGCAATCAAAATAACTTTATTTGATAGGCAAATTATTATTTTTAGCATACCAACGAGGTACAGTAATTCAAAGTTTTCTAAATATAACACAAAAGTTGAAAAAAATTACAAAGGCCTAGGCATAAAGTATTCTCCTTTTAGTTTAGAATGATATCGGGGTGGGGGTGGGGGGCGATTCCATAGAGCTATTAAACAACTAGAGTGCTGACAAGATGACGAAGCAATTCAGAGTTATGAATGTGTACCATCCAAGATGGCCGTCGTAGTAAAGCGTCACCTTCAGGCTTAATATACATATTATTACCATAAATAAGCCCTCTGACTGACTACTATTTCATTAATGATAATGAGTAATGGTAATAACAAATTATTAAACATTCGTAGCCAAATCGAAGCCAAGTGGAGCATCTTATTCAAAAATAAAGTACCAAGGAATGAAAATTAAAATCGTGTACATTACATCCGTACACCGCAACGCTCGAGTTTCAAACATTGGGTAACTAGCTGTACTGAACTTTCTGGGTAAATTGAGGGCGCAATTGCAAACGATGGTGCTTAGGCGAAATTTGATTGGCTGAATCTATGGCAGCCATCTTGGATGGTGTACACCACAGCTCTGCGTATTTCCGAACATCGAATACATTGCAGTTAGCGCTCTAGTATTCTTATTATATCTCTATGGGCGATTCACCTTCATATAGTCGTCGTCATACAGCCACTGCCCTGCATCCACCGCGTTAAAATAACGAATAACAAAATGCGAAGCACACAATGACGTTTGCAGCCAGACTACCAATACAACAACACAAATAAACTTTGCATGGCTATGATGGATTGGCGAAAAATGGAGCACGGACGAAAAATAAACAAAGTATTTGAAACTTTTAAATAATTTTAAGCCTTCGCCAAAATGGCTGAAAGTAGTTGGTTATTTTTTCACCAATCCAAAATAATAAGGGTCGCCAGACGGGGCGATACCCAAAACATTTGTTATCGCCCGACACCAAAAAAATTTGCCACTGGCGACCGGGCGATCACTAATTTCTAGCCCTGACACAGCACTTAATTAATACTAATGATAATACAAAATAATGCTAACGCCTTCCTACCCAAAGATTCAAGGCACTGGAAAGAAATGAGAAAATCTAGGTTTGAAATGTAATTTGTAAAACTTTTGTGGAAGCTTAACATGAATTGGTTCATAATGACAGTGGTCAGGCTGTCATGAATAAGTGTTTAACAAAAATTATTATGAATTTGCATCACAAATAGTGAAATCACCTTGAAAACACAAAAGCATAAAATAATACCATACCTATAATCTTTTTATAGACCATTTTATTGATGGGTAGTTGATCAATTTCATATTTTGTCTTAGGAGAATGCCACTAATTGTTTTGATTTATGTTTTTTTAGATGTTAACAATATTGTAAATGGGAAATTTATCTTTCCATTTATTTATTTATTTTTTTCTAAATTGAATTGAAATTGAATGTGTACTTCAAAACACAAGAACAACGGTACAGATAAGAGTGAAAAAATAAATGAAATATCTGTATTTATGTAAATAAACTTTTTATACGAATCAATAGAACAATTTGAGAGTCTTTCAGAGGTCAGTATATTTTAGGTCTTCACAAAATATTTATATACCGCATTTTATTCACGTCCATTAAGGAGGTCTGGTTATTAATTTAGAGATGAACTAAGTTAAATTAAATAAAAAATTGAATTAAGTAGCACTGATTGTATTAATTTAATTTACTTTATGAATGGAATAAATTATCTGAAGGATTGCTTTAGGGAAAAAGGTTAAAACAATCTTTTCTCAAGAGGCATTAAAACTGATGAGAAGTTTCCTTATAGTTTTTAAAGTGTAAAATAAGTAAATTAAATTAAATAGAAAATTTGATTGAATAATATTGATATTGTGTTTATGGATTAATTGTATGAATGGAAGAAGTAATTGGAAGATAATTTGCTAAGAATGAAGTAGTTAAAATAAACCTTAACCACACTCCCATGATGCGAAAAATGCCTTACAGTAAAATATAAATACTAATATACTTGAATATGTTCATATTAAATTTTTTTGTCACAACCTGTAGGTCTATCATGGGTTTTGTAAGCAGAGGTCAAGCCCAAGATTTACTGCTTAGCCGACCACATGGTAACTTCTTGTTACGCTTCAGTGATTCGGAAATTGGAGGAGTCACAATAGCATGGTCTGGGGATGATCCTCAAACAGGTATGACAAAATTGATGTGCGAATGTGCTTCTTTAAAGAGATGTTTGGGGGTGATTTTTGTGATTAGCAAACAAGAAGATCAACTTGCGTAAAGTTAACATTATCAATCAAATGTCAAAATGCATTTACACATCCGTGTGATTCATGGGTTTTCAGTTATCCATGGTTTGACGTTAATTTCGCAGAAGTGTAAAATCACCATTTTCTTTATTGTTTCTGACATGTGGCGGATCTCTAATGTTAAATGTCACGTTCGATAGAAATAATGCCAAGTGCTGGTACTTTTCAATACGCATGTTTGAATCTCTTGAGCTAGACACACTCTTTGATCGCCTAGGCTAGTGTGTAGGCCTCTAGGCTAGGAAGTTAGTACTTTTTTAGGCCTCGTAGAATCTATGTATGAAGTATATAAAAAATATTGACTGCTCTAGATTTGGGAACAGTGAAATCTATTGCCCTCATGAGCAGTCAATATTTGTATACTATTAGTGTCATAATAGTAATAATAATAATGTAAGGCATTGAAAATGGAAGGCAGATGTAGTTTGGTGGAAAGATGCTTGCATTCTAATCACAGGGTCCTATGCTGAATTTTTGAGGCATCAAGATTTTTTCTCATTACTAAATACATTTCCACTCTCCAATACTTGGTTTATAATCATTACATTATCTCATCACAATATCTCATCACATTATATCATCACATTATCTCATCACATTATCTCAACACATTATCTCATCACATTATCTTATTACATTATCTCATCACATTATCTGATCACATTATCATCACATTATCTCATCACATTATCTCATCACAATATCTCATCTCATCACAATATCTCATCACATTATCTCAACACATTATCTCATCACGTTATCTTATTACGTTATCTCATCACGTTATCTCATCACGTTATCTCATCACATTATCTCATTGCATTATCTCGTCGCATTATCTCATTGCATTATCTCATCACATTATCTCATCACAATATCTCATCACATTATCTCATCGCATTATCTCATCGCATTATCTCGTCACATTATCTCATCACATTATCTCATCACATTATCTCATCACATTATCTCATCACAGTATTCATATATTCAAAGCTCTATCCACACTATCAAATTTAATGTGACAAATTTGTTTGATGTGGCCATTTATGGGCATGGTGATGTTATATTACATACAAATATCTGCATATCACATTTATTTGTCACATAAAATTTCATAGTGTGGATAGCCCTTAAGACCTCTCCCTGCTGACCATCCAGAATGAGGTGAAAGGTCATCTTCTATAAATATGATTTTCAAAATAAAAGTTAAATGTGTTCGTATATGGCTTATTCTTGAAATGCAACTATGTTACAAACACTTTGCAGGAACGAGTCAGGTTTGGAATTTGCAGCCTTTCACCGGTGAAGATTTCAATATCCGTTCACTTGCTGACCGCATACAAGATCTACCGCATCTGGTTTACCTTTACCCCGATATCCCAAAGGACACCGCTTTCAGATCATATTATACACCGATGTCAGGTAAGACCGCATCAACCTCATGGCCTAAAGATATATTGCCATCCCAGAAAATCCAGAAAACCCCTAAAAAAAAATCAAATACCATATTGTCATTTGTGTTTGTGTTTTGGATTTAGGTCATTATTAAATTTATTGCAATGATGCTAAAAGTTAATCATAATTTTCTTTGAACATTGTATTTAATCATTCTGAAGTCAGGTCATTCTCTGCTGTATTTTTATCATTGAATCTCCAAAAACATCAAGTGTTCAGAAAGTATATTGAGTAATAGCTTATACTGTTTGGTTTAGATTGTTCAAAATTTACATCGATGAAGGAATACATGAATTCTAAAGCCTTTCTGCTATGCATTTTATTGTAAATTGTTTAGCATTCCCTAATGATGGCCAATGCTTCATTCTAGGCTATATTGGGAGATATTTAAACTTGAGTGATTTTTTAATATAGTTTGCAAAAGAAGCAAGTAGTTATTTCCATATACATGCTGCTAGTGCTTTTAGGTTAAATCTAACTAATGCCTAAGGGTATGTTGTGTATAAATGAAAGAGTTATTTTATCCATGCGTACTTCTGAAGCTTTTTTCAATCTGATTTTCATTGCTTGGCTTTTAGAACGCTCTGGACAAGCACACCCTAGAAAGGGGTTGCATGTGAGTGGCATAGCAGTTAGGATTAATGTAGTTATAGATTCATTACCATTCCTCTTAAATATTTCATGGAAAAGCCTTTTTGGTACATCAAATAAAATTATTTTGGATACAGTAGGTAAATCTTTAGGAATTAAAGTAACAGTATTGAGAGTTAAATTGCCAAGAATGACATCAAAAAGATTGGTATGTATCAGAGAAATGACACATTAAAAATGTTATCATTAGTTTTATACCGTTGGTCCAAAACTAAAACAATTTATTCTGAACATTTTTCATTCCTCTTTTACAGCTCACGCTGGTACTCTCTTAAAAAATGAATCTAATGATGCTAATAAGCAATTAGTAGAGCTCCGCATAGTACACTATAGGAAAATTATTATACGAAAGTTAGATTTAATGCTTGAAAAAATTTCCTGAGGGCATGCAAGGCCCGAGGGAAATTTTTGAATGCATTAAATCTAACCTAAGTATAATAATTTTCCATTTAGTGTACAATGCATGCTCTACTAATTGCTTTATAATTCAATCGCCAAATTTAAATTTTAGTTTTTTATAACCAACTGTTGTAGCAGTCATCGGTTGCTATGTGATATGATCAGTATACGCGTGCGTATTTACATTTAGCTGTGCGTATGCTGATTTTTGCTCCTGCAGTACGCGTTTAATTAACTACACATCAGCAGTACAGTACGGATACGATGAATAATTATTGTGTTAGAAAGAACTTGTTTGTAATGCTATTTTGATAGACTTTCGTCAAAGAAATAAACATTTCAGCATTCGAGAGAGAATACAGTCACTCGCGTCCTTTTTGGTCGATACATGCAGACAGGTAAAATCATGCGATGATTTCATAACTAGACTAGGCTACGGCCTAGTAGGAGAAGGCCTGGGCGGCCTCCTGCCTGGCCGTGGGCCTACATCTAAATTTGTTCCTTGAGTCTTTAAAATAGGTCTAGAATATTCCTATTAAACGTTCAGTTTGTTGTCTTAATGAGGGTCCATTGATTCAATGAATTCCTTAATTGTTCATACTTCATATTGAATTTAAAGTAACTTTCTTCAGGTTCTAATTAAGCTTGTTTTACGAAAGTAATGATGTATTCGCAGTGACGAAAAAATGAGGAATTTTTTTTTGCACACGAACCTAAAAAAAATCAAGCCAAGCGTTCACTAATAGAAAAATTAGTGAATGCTGGGGAATAGGAAAATAACATTGGGAGTTACAGTGATGACATCACGATTGACTTATAACAAATATTAATACTTACCAGCAATATTTGTCTATACTGCATTAAGAAAAATTTCCCAAAATGCTTTTATGATAAGTTTGAATTTAACGAAAAAATATAAAACTACAACACAAGAACTTAATCCGAAAGGTCCACTGATTAATCTCAGATAAGAAAGTATAATACATACTCCAAGTATTGAAATACACGCCATCATGTTGGGATTCAATATTTCGACATTAATTATGTCATCATCAGGAATGATGACATAATTAATGTCGAAATATTGAATCCCAACACGATGGCGTGTATTTCAATACTTGGAGTATGTATTATACTTTCTTAAGAACTTAATCATTTTTTAAATGGGAAAAAAATTATTAAATTTGATCTGAATCTGAAAATGGTATATGTTAGCCCATAGTTTGGTGCAAGCATTTCATGGTCCTGGTGTGCTGCAAACCATTGGTTGGTCCATTGGAATGGCTAATATAGTGCTGATTGCCTATACTCCTTCTTGACTAATGTCATATTCAGCGCATGTATTGTTCATCATAAAGTATTCTACATTCTTCCAATATCAGAAGTGGTTTGACACAGCTAGTACAGTTTGGTTCCGAACCTCGAGGCCGGGGTTTCTATCCCTGGCTGTGAATTTTGTTTGTGACCTTAAGAAAGGCAATTTATCTACGTTGCTTCTTTCCACCCAGGAGTTTATGGGTATCTAGTGGAGGTGCCTGCTACTGCGCCAATTATGGCAGCAACACATAAGCATTTAGACCGACAAATGACCAGGGAAAACAAAGCGTTTTGTAACCTAAAAGAAAAGGTGCTATACAAATAACAAATCAGTAATCACAAATTAAATTAGAACAGGCGCTAATTTTGTGCCCTGTGGTACCTGGCATGAAGTGAACACAGTTAACCTTTGAATTTAAAAGGAAGCGGTCTGTTATAAGGAAAATCTCCAATCATCTTTGACTTGCAGTACTTTGTGATTTGTTTTTAAGAAAATCTGCTGTAACAGCTGTAATGAATCTTTGAACCTGTAGGTTTAATAATAACAGTATTATGATTAACCTACTCAGAGGCTGTAGAAAAGTCAATTGTGTAAATTGCTTCGAAATTACATGCTATATCGAAACCCGATAATAATAACTTGTACAGAATATCAAGTAGGTAGTGTGTAGTTAAACTATAGTACCTTTAATTGACTTACAGCCAAAATCACAAGCTTAAGTTAATTAAATTAATTAATTAATTAAAAATGTAATTTAGATTTTTAAAAATTGTAATTCATATGTAAATTTCAGTGTGTATTTAAGTATACACAAAAGCTGATTTTTTTTTTTTTTTAAAGAAATTATGAATGTTGAATGAAATAGGAAAACACATTTCCCAGCATTTTTTCAGGGCACATAAAGTAAATTACCAACAAAACATGTTTATTCCTGAAAGTTAATAATTTGATATAGTATTAGCATATGAACAGTATTTACCATAGAGCAGTGCCCTCAAAGGGCATGGATGTTGTGACATTAACTATGACAAGACACCCACTCTCATCTTTGTGTTTTCACTGATATTAGTTTCATCTTTGGTGACACCAGCATTCCTGGATGTATGAACAAATGTGGCATTGCAGCTAGCAGGATAGGCATTGTGTTGTATTAAAGTTTATGCTTGTTTGTTAAAAACATGTGTCATTGTAGTTATGGGCAGCACAGTGTTTAATGCTGAATCAAAATGAACTCTGTTTATTGCACATACCATGTGTGCAGTTTTTATTTTATGTTAGCTGACAACCTGCTATTTTCATTTTCTGTAAAATAAACTTACTTTGTTGCACATACAGTGTCTGCAGTTTTTGTTTTATTTTAGCTGACAATCTGCTATTTTTATTTTCTGGTGCTGAATTTACAACACATCTGGATTTGACAATAACCATGTAGGCTCAGTTCTTATTAATATAATCCTTCATATGTTGTAACAATAATGAATGTCTTTGTGAAGGCTAATTTACCATAATAATTGTTAAAATAAGAAATAAGACAGGCATGGAAAAGAATGCTGCATGTGCGTGTTTAGACTAAAATAATAATGCATCTCTTTTAAGCCTAAAAATTGGTCTAATAAATACATAATGGTAGAGTGAATAGTGTAAGAAGAGTAATTATTGTAATTGTGTCACTAATTTCGTTCAGTAAGCGTCCTCTGCCATTAATTTGTTTGTAGAACAAGAATCTTTGTAATTTATCGCCTTCCCCCCCCCCCATATTATAACATTTTGGTTTTAGAATTGGCCAATTTGTCAAGCCGGCCCTGATTACACTTCCACTACCGTAATTTAAAATCTTGTATTTGCCCCATCATGGGCTGGAATAGGGGTAGCTTCTTTGCAGGTTGTCAGATGCTACTGGGGCCGGGTGACATCTAGAGATGCCATATTTTCAAAATGCTTTCACATTAGGTCCACCATGGTCAGGCCGATGTGGTACGTAGGTATACATTTAATCCCGATCCGGATACTAGGGCTCTTGTGAGAACCAGGCTTAAAATTAAAGTTTAATCGGTATAATGCCTAGCAGGAGCAAACATAATAGAGTATTTAATTAAAAGACTTTTTTAACAATTCAATTGATAGTATAACTCATTCACGGTCGTGATAAATAATTTATTAATGCTTCGGGCCGGTAATTGTAATTAAAATTGTATCAGCATTACAGTATGTTATTGGAAACTCTACTGTATTCATATTTCGTCGCTCACATCATGAACTAACACAATCAAAGTAGATTGTGTTCGTGAAATCAAGAAAGTGCGTCAAAATACGCGCTGTTGTTGTTAAGGACTTTTTGTGTGGTAAAGAATACACAATTGCTTGACAACCAATGCGCGCTCTGTGATTTGTAGGCCTCATAATGCATTTCATATCATTTCATTTATTTATTCAGACAAGTGCCTTAGGTCCTCAAAAGCAACAAAGTCAACATGACAAAAGTCCATAGCATACACATAATACATAGCACATGTTAAAATTATTTAATTCATTGTTTATTTATTTCACAATATTGCATGTTGTGTAAATATATATATATGTGCAACCAGCCAAAATGGCA